TAATTGTGGGAGCATACATGCTAAACATAAAATTTTTTGAGGAACTACCATATTGTCTTCCGCAGAGGCTGCACCGTTTTACTTTCCCACCAACATTGTTTTATTAAAACAAAATATCTGGAATTATTCTTAAACTTTAGAAACTCAAACCCATACTGTTAATTTTTAAAATTTCATTTATTATATTTTTAATTGTGGGAGCATACATGCTAAACATAAAATTTTTTGAGGAACTACCGTATTGTCTTCCGCAGAGGCTGCACCGTTTTACTTTCCCACCAACAATGCCCAAGAGTCCCCGTTTCTCCCCATCCTTGCCAGCATTGTTATTTTCTGTTTTTTTATAATAGCCGTCCTTACGGGCATGAAGTACTATCTTATTATGCTTCTGATTTGCATTGTCCTAATGATTAGTGATGTGGAGGATTTTTTCACATGGTACTTAGGGGACCGTTGTGTATCTTCTTTGGAGAATGTCTGTTCAAGTCCTTTGTCCCTTTTTGAATCAGGTTAATTCAAATTTTTGTTGTTAGGGTTTAGGAGTTCTCTATATGCTCTGAATGTTAATTCCTTATAATATATTTGCAAATATTTTCTCACATTCTGTGGGTCGCCATAATATTAATTTTTTTGATACGGGGTCTCTACATTGCTCAGGCTGGAGTGCGTGGCTGTTCAGAGGCAGGATCATAGTGCACTACGGTCTTGAACTCCCGGACTGAAGGCACCTCCCACCTCAGCCCCCTGAGTAGCTGAGACTGCAGACACGCACTACTGTGCCCACCTTAATTACTTTTTTATGTTGAGGAAATTGTGCATGTTTGGGATTTTAAATATTTGTTATATTTAAGAGAATTTGGCCTTTTCAAATAACAGTTAAGATTTTAGTTTGCTAAAATTCTAGGAATTACTTAACTATGTGAAAGACAGGTCAGATCCACTAAAGTTCTTACAAAAGCAAACTGAAATTATACAATGTTTAAAGGAGCATCATTAAGCAAGTTTAGAACTGCAAGCACCCGTGAATCAAAGAGTGTTAACATTTGCTAGATTTATAAACACATGGTATAAGATTTGTAAGCTGAACTCAAATGCCTACTGAAGAACTAGGTTTCTAAATTTGTAAGTTTAGTAAGTTTAAGAATAATTTTAGAAACCAAGTTAATCTCTCAATATTCTTGTTTACACATAAAAACTCAAGGTCCCGGCCGGGCGTGGTAGCTCACGCCTGTAATCCTAGCACTCTGGGAGGCCGAGGGGGGCAGATCCTTTGAGCTCAGGAGTTCGAGACCAGCCTGAGCAAGAGCGAGACCCCGTCTCTACTAAAAATAGAAAGAAATTAGTCGGACAACTAAAAATAGAACAAATTATCCAGGTGTGGTGGTGCATGCCTGTAGTCCCAGCTACTCGGGAGGCTGAGGCAGGAGGATCGCTTGAGCCCAGGAGTTTGAGGTTGCTGTGAGCGAGGCTGACGCCACGGCACTCGAGCTCGGGCAACAGTGAGACTCTGTCTCAACAAAAAAAAACTGAAAAAACTCAGGCTCCCCTGAGAGCTCACAGGGACATCTGCATCTGCACTGTAGGTGGCAGAGCACACCCTGGCAGTGGGAGCGCTGCCCTGAGAACTTGAGCTGGTGACCCGGCCTCAGTTCCCTCTTCAGGGGGAGGATGGGAGGACCAGGTGAAAGGACAGATGGCAACCCTGACCAGGAACAGCCTGGTCAGCAGACACCCTTGTCCTCCGGGCACGAAGAGGCTGGGCCTGAGGAGGAATGGCTGAGAGAAAAGCTAAGTATCAGAGAATCCCAGGGACGTGTGTCCTGGAATTGGAGCCCTTCCTGGAGCTCAGCCAGGAGCACAAAAAAAGAACCAAAAAAAAAAAATCTGAAATGGTGTTTAGGTCAAATTTGGACTCCTTGTGCCTATTGCTGTGGTTTTCAGGGGATTTTGGTATCTTCTGTTATGAGCCACTTCGTCCAAGCCAGATTGCACATGGGTCGTCACATGTATTAGAGTTCCCAAAGCTTCCAAATTGCCTGGCGTCCTTGAGTTTGACGTGGATCCCAATGTTGTCCTAGCCCAGTGTCCATCCAGCAGATGTTGACAGGGCACTTCCTGTACCCAGGCGTTCTGCTGGGGCTGGGGACGCACAGAGGGGGCAGGGTCCCTGCCTTCACTGCTAACGGCTCCCCAGGCGCAATGACACGCATGGTGAGGGCTGCTGTGAGGGAGGAGGCTCTGGGAGCTTTGTGAGCCCCACATTCTTCCTTCAAGTGTGAGGGAAGGCTTCCTGGAGGAGGTGGCGTCCAAACTGAAACAAGTAGGAGTTTGCCAAGTGTGTGGGGAAGGTGTCGCAGGAGGAGGCAACAGCATGTTCAAAGACCTAGAGGCCGGAGGCGGTAAAGGGCTGTTTCCCTCCTGGAGGCCTCAAGCTTGAGGCCAAAGCCTTGGCCCACTGGACCATCTCGGGGTTCCTCAGGACACTGGTGTTTACAGTACAAAACCTCCCCTGGGGAACGAGCGCTCCACTAGGGGCAATGTCCGGCCTCGAGTTCATCATGGACTTAATCCATGTGTGGTTCTGGCGCACTTCCCAGGGCTGGCGGCCTGTTCTTGGCCTTGGTCCTTGCAGCACGGTGCCTTCTGCTGGGCTTGGGTTCGCACGTTCTCTGCCCAGAGCCCGCGGTGCTGAGCGAGCAGCCTCTGGTCCCCGGCCCCAGCAAACCTTCAATGTGTCTCTTTTCCCGGGCTCCCTCGGGTTGGTCCCAGAAGGCCTCCTACTCCCTGCGCTCTGTTTTCTGCTGTCCTCCTCTGTTTCCTCTCACTGTCCCTCCACATCTTGGACCTTTTCAGGGTCCTCTGTCCCTGCTCTGACCCCTGTGCTCCTGGCTGCTCACAGCCCACCCTCTCACCCCCACCCCAGAGCTCTGGCCTCGTCCCTAGTGGCCTCACTGTTCGGTCTCCCATACAGTAGCTCCTGCCACTTTCCTGCTCATTCTGTGCGATCTAGCCCCAGTCCTGGCCTCCCGTCGCCGGAGACCAGTGTGTTCGCAGAGAGGCCGAGAGCTGGCAGGGGCTTCAGTGGCCCCGGGGCAAGTCCAACCCAGCACATCCAGAGAGGAGGAGGGAATCGCTTGGGGGCCCAGTTCCCCAGACTCCCAGCGTGGCCCTTTCTCCTTTACCCTCGGCCGTGACATCCTCGGGCCCCCCCCACCACCCAAGCCCAGCTTTGGCTTCCTGAGCCCACCTGCCTCCTGGACTCTGGCCCGGCAGCCCTGTCCTGGAGTGTCCTGTGGGCGCCACACACTCACGGGGAGAAGATTTCCTTCCCAAAGGGGAAGAGAAGCCCCATGGGCCAAACTGCGAGGTATGGGCTTTTCAAAATGTCTTCATTTTAAAAATTCAAATATTTAAAATTCAACAAGTACAGAGGGAATGAGGGAGCGCAGGGAAAAGAAAGTCTCCCTCTGGCCCTGGCTCCAGCCAGCGACAGTGTCTGCTCTCTGTGTGTGCAGGGACAGCCCGTGCATGTGCCAGCGTCTGTATGTGTATGTTTTTTTCCTAATTTTAAACACACATGATGTTGTGGTAGAATCTGAATTAAAGATAATCTCACATCATGCAGTGTGTTCCAAGGAGGTAAGATTACCTACTAAAATCAACTTCAGAATAGGAGCAAACTTAGTAACACAGAAGGACACCCAGGGTATATTGTTAAGTGGAGGGAAGTTAGGTTCGAAAACAGAATGTATGTAGGGTTCTATTTTTGTTAAAAGTTATATTCTCTGAGTCTTTTTTTAAAAGTTTGAACTGTCACAGCCAAGAGGAACCTAAGGAGACAGGACAACTGCATGTCATGTGCTATTCTGGACGGGATCCTGGGGTAGAAAATGGACATTAGGTAAAAACTAAGGAAATCTGAATAATATTCCATTGCGTGTAGATACCAATATCATTCAGCCTTAAATAGGCAGGAAATCCTGCAATATGAGGCAACGTGGATGAACCCCAATGACATTATGCTGAAAGAAACAAGCCAGACACAGAAAGACAAAGCCTGCAGGGTTCCGGCTGTATGAGCAATCTAAGACAGACTCACAGAAGCAGAAAGTAGAACGGTGGCTGTTAGGGCTGGAAATGGGGGAAACGGGGCATTGCTGATCAACATGTGCAAAGTTTCAGGTATGAGCCGGGTGTGTGGCCCACAGCTATTGTCCCTGCTACTTGGGAGGCTGAGGCAGGAAGATCACTTGAGCCCAGGAGTTCAAGACCAGCCTGGGCAAAGAGGGAAGGAGACCTTGTCTCTAAATTAATAAATAAAAAGTAAAGTTTCAGGCCAAGCAAGGTGGCTCATGCCTGTAATCCTGGCACTCTGGGAGGCCAAGGCGGGAGGATCACTTGAGGTCAGGAGTTTGAGACCAGCCTGAGCAAGAGCAAGACCCTGTCTCTACTTAAAAAATAGAAAAAATTAGCCAGGTGCAGTGGTGTGCACCTGTAGTCCCAGCTGCTCAGGAGGCTGAGGCAGGAGGATCGCTTGAGCCCAGGAGTTTGAGGTTCTGTGAGCTAGGCTGACACCACGGCATGCTAGCCCAGGCAACAGAGCGAGACTCTGTCTCAAAAAAAAGAAGTTTCAGTTATGCCAGATGAATACATTCTAGAGATGTGCTCTACAACATAGCGCGTATAGTTAATAATGTGGTACTGTGCACTTAAAAATCTGTTAAATAGGAGATCTCATATTAAGTTTTCTTACCACAATAAAATTTTAAAAACCAAGGAAATCTAAATAAAGTATGGACTTTATAGTTAATAATGTAGCAGTACTGGTTCATTAATTGTAACAAAAGGACCGTACTAACATAAAATGTTAATAATGGAGGAAACTGAGTGTGAGGTACGTGAGAGCTTTCTATACAGTCTCTGCGGTTTTTTAGTAAATCTAAAATCGCTCGAAAATAAAGGGGTTTTGTTGTGTTTGGGTTTTTGTTTTTTTTGATTCAGAGTCTCACTCTGTCACCCAGGCTGGAGTGCAGTGGTGCTATCATAGCTCAGTGCAGCCTCGAACTCCTGGGCTCAAGGGATCCTCCTGCCTCAGCCTCCCAAGTAGCTGGGACTACAGACGTGAGCCACTGTGCCTGGCCCAAAATAAAGTTTATTTAAAAGAAAACCTGGATGGACAGCACAGTGTTCTCTTCACATAGTGGGATGACATGTGATTCCCCCTTTGGTTTATCTGTGCCTTCTAAGTTTTCTGCAGTAAACACGTATTATTTGTGTAATGAATTAACCACAGAACAGAACATTGGCCCTCCTGGTGGAGGGTTTCAGGCATGGCAGTAGCCTCCCAGCCTTCCGTCTGAGTGCTGTTAACACCCAGGTGCCCAAGGGCCACCAGCCTGGGGAGGGCCTGCTCTCTCTGGGTACGCAGAGGCCCCAAGGGAGTCCGGAGGAGACTGCAGTCCATTCACCTGCCTTGGCTATGAGGATGTTCCCAGCACTGTACTTAAAAAAAATAAAAATCCTCCACTTAAAAAGAGTTATGTTTTATAATTAGAAAAAGATAAATGTTTTGTCAATGGGTATGAAAAAGTTATGCATTTAATATATGTTTTTCATAGAAAAATTAGAAAGTATATATACCACAAAGAAGAAAGTAAAAGCACTGGCTTCTGCTCGGGGAGAACTGCCTTTTACGTTTTGGAGTTTATCCTCCCAGACTGTTAAAGTTCACACATACATAGTATAAATACGGTATATGCAAACACATGACAGTTTACAAAAACTGGATCACACAGTGGGTATGATTTGGCAATTTGCTTTTGCCACCAGCAGTGGCTACCCATCTAGGTTAAAGAAATAGTCATCTGGCCGGGCATGGTGGCTCACGCCTGTAATCCTAGCACTCTGGGAGGCCGAGGCAGGAGGATTGCTCGAGGTCAGGAGTTCGAGACCAGCCTGAGCAAGAGTAAGACCCCGTCTCTACTAAAAATAGAAAGAAATTAGCTGGACAACTAAAAACATGTAGAAAAAATTAGCCAGGCATGGTGGCGCATGCCTGTAGTCCCAGCTACTCACTCGGGAGGCTGAGGCAGAAGGATTGCTTGAGCCCAGGAGTTTGAGGT